TACAGACTTTACCTTTGTCATAATAAGACAATTATGGGTAATTAATGACCTTAAATGTTACGTTATGCAATCATATACATTAAATACATATTCTCTAACGTTTCTAGTATTTAATACTCATTAAATGTTGTATCTGGGCTCTTTTTTGTTGTCAGATTCATTCCTTTGACTCTTCACGATCTTTGACCTTTAAATGTCTTGAATAGGTACGAGAGTTGAATTACTTGTTTGACTGCTCGTGCCTTCTCCACTTAACTTGTTCATATCTGTTGTTGCTCGTATCTGTTGTTGCTCGTATCTGTTAACCAACCTTAATTCTTTGACTGTTTGACCAGTCTACGTGTCATGGCACGTCACCATATATATATAAATACAATTTTTCCCAATACACGGGTCATTGCAGTTTTTGGATTATTTGTCCCACCACGTAATTAAGTATGAAATTGGGTCTAATTGAGGGGAAGCTATTGATGTGTTGTCATCTTTTGTTTTAATATTTTATTTCCAAAAACATCTAATTAGTTTCAAGTGTTTCCAGCTTGAAACTTAGATGCAATATCATATTTATAATTATGTCAAAAGATGCACGGAGGTTTTTATCTTGCCAGCCGCCTCCTCAATTAGAGTTCATCTCATCGGACCTGCCTAATACAGTCTACATCTTATGTATGAGCCCGCAAGGGTTGGCCGAGTTGGTTGGGTGAGTAATTTTTCACATGGGAGACTTGAGATCGATTCCTTTCACCAGTAGCCTCCACAGTCACTGCTCGCCGCACCGGGTTTACCTAGTGCGGTTTATATTACCTGTGTGGTTTGCGAGCTATTGCATAGTGAGCAGGTTACCCAGTGTGTACATGAAAGATAGCGATTGCGAGTTTTCCTTGAAATTTTCTAAAAAAGATGCATGGAGGAAGATATGACCTTCATCCTCATGACACAACATATTTGGAAATTGAATAAAAAGATCTATCTATCTATCTATCTATCTATCTATCTATCTATATATATATATATATATATATATATATATTAGTTGGTGAGACTTCAGAATCAGAAGAACGCAACAGTTTCCTCTTTAAAATGAAATAATGAAGACTATATTCATTCAGCTGGTAGGTTGCCATCAAACTATCTATTTTCCTGCTGCATTCTGCTCCAACATTGACTGTTCATAAATTTTGTTATCTCAACCCTTTCCACAATTATTACGTTGACAAGGACAAAATGGTTCTCTAAAACTACATAGATACACACGCCTTTAGTTGTACAAACTTCACCAAAGCAATCACCAATAGAAGAAACTTTAATACAAAACTAAATACACATATCTCAACTTTTAAGTAGTAGTTCCATTCAATCACACTCTAAAGGTAATGTAACTTTCTAACAACTTCGAGTTCATTACCTTAAATGTTGCGCTCAACCAGCCCGAAGATACTATTAAAATAGTGTGATGTTATCCGCTTTGAGTCAAGTCCGTACGGTTTTTTCTAAAAGGTCTTACACCAATAAGAGATCTTTACAGCTCCCAATCTCACACCAAGCATTAACTTCATAACTAATGTATTATTTTGTTGAATTGAAGTTAGTGTGAAAGAGAAAGGGAAATAAAAGAAACTATTTTATTGGGTTGGTAGATAGTATTTCTATCGTAAAGAGAATGCCACTTAGTGAGAGAGTGTTATAGAGCGTAAAATTTGCAATCAATTAGGACAGGTGGCACTAATATTGGATTTCATAAGTTTGACCATTTTAATACTTGAGACATGAAGAGAGTTTTTCATTATGAAAGAAATGAAATAAAACCGATAGAGTTGACTCTCAATTACAATCCCGCCTTTTCGAAACTCCATCTTAACCCGGCCAAACGGGCCTCACGACAGAAGAAAAAATAACAGGGGTACTGGACTATGCCCGAGCGATTACACTATGATAGCGTAATCAACCACGGTGCCCTTAGCAGTTGCTCCGCGGTGTTTGCGCGATCACAAAATGTCAATGAGCCAAAATCTGAGATTTTCTTTGATCCATACAGGGGGAGGCTTCGCACCCCTTTCGACTTCTGCTTCCAACACAATCACAATCTTTAAGGGTTGGATAGCAATTCGAATTCAAAAATTTAAGACACAAAAGTTAATACTATCTAATCCCAAAAAACGGCATGAGAAAGAGTTTTTACGCTATCAAATTAAACTGACCTACAATAAACGTAACTTTACAAACCAAATCTCTAATTTACACTATCGGTATATACAGATTGAAGTACTCAAGATAATGTTGTAAGTTTAGAATTACTATATACGCAAAAGAACAAAAGTGGAAGTAAACAAGACCCTTAAAATCACTCATAATTAGTACTTAATAGGGAACTAAGAACAACTATAAAGAGATAAGAAACAAAAAAGGGCAGCTCGGTGCACTAAGCTCCCGCTATGCGTGGTGTCCGAGAAAGGGGCAGCCGGTCTTACCCTGCATTTTTGCAAGAGGCTGATTTCACGGCTCGAACTCGTGACCTCCTAATCACATGGCAACAACTTTACCCGTTACGCCAAGACTTCCCCTCGTAGAGCTATAAAATAACGTCATTTTACTACAACTTTGACGGGATCAACGTATCAATCCTACTTGAATACTTCTAAGTTCAGACTTTGTAAAACTTGAAGCTTTCCATGGTATTCTCCAAATTTATTTATTTTGCAAGTTTAATACTTTCTGGTTTCTCTAAACGTATACGTATTTTCGTTGTTACTTTCTTTTTAGCTTACTAAAGGAACTGATAATATCTATTAACCGGTCAGCCCAATTTAAAGCTTATGAATTTATTGCCAAAAGTATGATCCGATGACAAAGGTACGTGCTCAGAGGCGGTGCCAAGATTTCAACTTTATGGGTTCTGAATTTTAGATCGACAACAACTTTATGGATTCTGAATTTAGTATTTGTATGTATTTTATAAATTTCATAACATAAATACGTTGTTTGAGATTTCATAACATACAATTTATATTGTTAAATATATATAGATTGTAAATAATAATAATTTATAAGTGGTTGACCATTTTTGACGATTAATACCGACCGAAATCGGTCAGTCAATTCATAATAATTTTAAAAAATTATTTTTGTTATTAAAAAAATACAATTGAGCCTGGGCGGAAAAAAACAAATCAAAAATTCCGACGATGCGGTTGGTATACTTGAATTTTTCTAATTAAAAATTTTTTTGGAAGATAATATGCAAGTCTGACAATGTTTTGGTCAAAGATAGACCAATTTCAGACATAGCTGAGTTTTTTTTTATTGTGGGTCCACTTTTTCCGATCGAAGGTAGTCGGTATCTTTGTATAAAAAATTTAATTTGACTTTTCCGACCAATTTAAATACTTTCCGATCGAGTTCGGTCGGTTTTCTCTTCCGAGTGATTTCGATCGAAATGATGTGGACGGATTTTACCAGATTTCTAGTAGTATAACCAGGCTTCTAGCTACGCCCCTGCACGTACTCACCTTGTCATTAGATGCAAAGAGTTTCACTTATATACGCTGACGGGGTAGATAAATTCTTTTTAAACTATCAGAAAGCAACTACAAGCTAGTAGTCATTAATTAACAACAATAAGTGAAACTAGTTGCCTAGATAAAGAAATCAGACAATATATATATTACAACATGTTGAATACATAATTTCCACGGTCAAAATGTATAAATTAAATCTATATGAATTAATTAGATTTACCGTCTCTATATTTGTTGGATTAGGTATCTATGCATTGTCATTTTGCTATTACTTTTACAAAATAATACATCTATTTCTGATATTTGCATCAAGATACTGTACTGTTGTTTATGTTTTAACAACCTGATTATAACTATCAAAACGTTGCTAGTGAACGAAGAGGATGGGCAGCTTAAAATAAAGATTTCAGATTTGCTTCATCGTCATCATCATCCAATTAAATTTACCAAAACTATTGACTTTGTTGCTATCTGTTTACTTGTTCAAGAATCTCATAACCACCCTTTGTGCCATTAATACATAATATAATCTCGTAGACGCCAATCCAATTATTTGGAGTAACTATAATGATCTCACCCAAGATTGAACTTTTTTTTTTAGTAAAGCCGCCTTGTGGTGGGTGGGAGGGGGTTTGGCTTTGATTCTCAGCAACCTAAACCTTACAGATACATATATACATACATACATACAAGGCGGACATAAGGATTTCATGTGACGGGTGCACAATATTCTATGCAATCAGTGCCCCTAAAGGTTTTTAGAGGTTGCCAAGTGATTTAAATAAACTATTTTCAAGGTATACAAATATACATATACAAGACTGCTGCCGAAGTTTACGGGGTCCGACGATCCCCTCAACATAAGCCATAGGTCCGCCTCTTCATATATATATATATATATATATATATATAGTATAATAAAAATTATACTTTCAGTATATATTTTAACGTGTTACGGCAGGTTGCTTGACTTAATTTTCAAGTCACTAATTACGTTTTTTTTATGGTCGATTACATGTTATCTTTTTGGTGACCTAATAGTATAAAAGTTCTTTTGGACTATCAATGTTTAGAAGTTAAATTCCATAAATTAAAGAGTTTAAGGTGAGTTAACGAACTTTTACACTATGGGGTCACGTTTACCTAGTACTGTAGCAGGTAACTTATTTTATTTTCAAAATTCCAAATTACACATTTTAAAAAGGTTTACCTATAGATATTTTTTGTGTAAATCTGGTAGTATACAGAATTGCTTACGCTAACGGTGTATATAATATAATTAAATCCTATATTAAATACAGCTCTTCTATGTTTGTTCCATCCAATCATCACTCACTCTTGTACAAATGGATAACACCAATCCAATTATTTTTAACTAATTATTATCTCACCCAACATTTGAACCTTATAAATACAGCTCTCCAATGTTTATTTCTATCACACTAAACCAAACACACACCACTACACAAGCTATCAAGAAAATCCCCCCCCCCCCCCCCAACAAAAAAAAAAACCCTAAATAAAAAGAAAAATGTGTAAAAAAGAGATAACTACAAAAAGAAACTTCAATGTAAAGATGAGCAAGAGTGAAGTGGTGGCAGCAGTTTTGCCAATACAAGAGCATTGGCTACCACTGTCCAATCTTGACTTGCTCTTGCCTCCATTGGATGTTGGAGTTATCTTTTGCTATCAAAATCCTATTTCTGTGACAACAAAAATAGAATTTGGTTCAATGGTTAGAATTCTCAAAGCTTCTTTGGCTGAAACATTAGTTATTTACTATGCATTTGCTGGTGAGATAGTTCAGAACTTAGGTGGAGAACCTGAGCTTCTTTGCAACAATAATGGAGTCAATTTTACAGAAGCTTTTGCTGATGTTGAGCTCAAAGAAATCAACTTTTATAATCCAGATGAGAGTATAGAGGGAAAACTTGTTCCAAATAAGAAGCATGGTGTACTAGCTATTCAGGTACTGTGTCTTGATGCAAACTATTCTCCCTTTTTTTTCATGCATGTGACCTCTAAATATCCCAACTTAACAAAGACAAAAAAAAAAAAAAATGGGGGGGGGGGTAGGGGTGTAACCCAATGCATCAAGCTCATGTTGTATCAGGGACAAAGGCAGAATTTACGCTAAGGGGGTTCAAAAAAGAAAAGGTTAAAAAAATTAAAAGAAAGTGTGGCCAATGGGAATTGAACTAGCAACCTCACAAAAAATTTGAATCCCCTTAATCACTAAGCTATGCTTCTAGGCTTTATCAAAAGGGATTCAACATATAATACATAAGGCACAAAATGGATTTTACCTTGTATGCACAGTGTAATTTTTCGGTGAAGAGGGTTCCCATGAACCTCTCCTGCACCCCTAAATCTGCCACTGGTTGTATGTGCACGGTCCGAGAAAAGATCGGACCATCATTGAGTCTACTGTAGTGGCAAATGTAGAGTACAGCATACGGGTTCACAGCAACGCAGTAGTTTTTGCTCAAATCTTGTTTATATATTAAAACCCACTAAATATCTATAAATATTTTACTGTGAACCTAGTTATTATAATTATTACTTTAAATTTATTTGAAGTTGATGTAAGAATTCATAAATTTTAAATATTAAATCCACCTCCAGTCTACTGTACGTAATCTTACCTTCCACGGTCGCTTCCACGTTTATTCTATATATGAATAATTATATTGTTTGCAAATCTAAATTAGTCCAAAGGCGCCATACCTGTAATTTTTACTTTATCACTATATTATATTCAATTTGTGACACTTATGTGATATTTCTTTTCTCATCTTCAATTCATAGAAATATTTTATATGAAAGAATTCATAGATTTTCTTCCCATTTTCGGAAGGCAATATATATTTTTACAAAATTAGCCAACATGCACTTGCCTCTGAAGCCCTTGTTCTTTACTTGGGGCGAATCTAGCACGTAAGTTACGGTTTACGTAAATTCGGTAGTTTTGTTTTGATCGTGTATATGTATTAAAAAAATTCAATAAATAGCTTTAAATATTTAATTAAATATAATTATATTGTATATAAACTTGAAATGGTTATTAAGAAAACATAAACTTCAACTCCTGGATCCGCCTCCATTTTTACTTCTGAGGTGCGAAAACAATAAGGAGAATGGAAACTAAAATGATCAATTATTTGGTCAATTGACATTTCTCAATAACACGTTCTCACTTCTCACCCCTATGAGAATGGAGGAAAACTAAAAGATTAAGTCTCAATCATACCCTTACTTTATCCAAATTTATTTTGCTAGTAAACTATAAGTTTAAGAAAGAAAGAAAAGGACTTCTATATATATATAGAGAAACTAAATTAAAGTATATGCAGTCGTTTTAGCCATTCTTTGTTTTTCTTTCGTGAGAACGTTTTGTCCATTCGTATATACAAAGTTGACACGCAAAAGAAGAAAAAAATTGAGGAATTACTCGTATCTCCAATTAAATATTTTTATTTGATTTTTCTCATGATGATCAAACTAAATTAATTAATTATCTAGCCATAGTAAGTTAGTTATTTGTCAAGTTACCAATACAACTTATTATAAACATGTATTGTTAATTAGATTTAAGTAACTTGACAATAAAAGAAAACTAATACTAAATTTATGTCTTTAAATATGTGTCTGTTATGCGGCGCGGTAATGCAAAATTCTTAGAGTGAAATTTTCTTCTCACTTTTTGATATCTAGACTTGGTCATCGACCCTCGAACACGATCCCGGTTTAATTTCTCGGGCTTTTACTCATACTCAAATCTCCAAATTATTCAATTTAGCTCCAGAATATCTTATTAACTCGGAATCATCTCCTACAAGGCATAAAACATCATCATTATTTAATCTCAAACATGCTCAAAGTGCAATAATTAGAGTGCAAAATAGGGGTTAAAATATGGGTTCCTGGCCTACCATCAATACCTAATCTATATGTAATACTCCCTCCGTCCCATTTTATGTGACACTTGTAAATGATTTTTTTTTTTTTTGCCGCGATTTTTTCATGTGACTTTTGATCTTAATCAATTTAATTACAATTTTGTCCTCTGTCCTCTTGTTTTATTTTATTTCTTGCAATTTTACCCAATGTTTACTGCAGGTTACACAACTCAAATGTGGAGGACTAGTTGTGGGTTGCACATTTGATCATCGAGTTGCTGATGCATATTCAGCCAACTTGTTTCTTGTATCATGGTCTGAATTAGCTCAATCCAAACCTCTCACTCAGCTCCCATCTTTCCGTCGATCGTTCCTTTTTCCTCGACGTCCTGGTTACTACGATGACTCAATCGATAGCCTGTACGTACCAATACCAACCCTACCACCCTCAAAACCCGAAACCCTTAGCCCTAACGATCAAGCCATAAGTCGAATTTACTATGTCACGGGGGAGAAAATCAGTCACCTTCAATCACTAGCCAATCGTGACCAAAAAAGTGCAAAATTCCAGAGGTCTAAACTTGAATCATTCAGCGCTTACCTGTGGAAAACTATTGCATGTGGAATTAAAGAAACATCAAATTCCAAGAATTTCAGGTTTGGTATCGTTGTTGATGGTAGGACAAGATTAAGTAATGGAGATGATAATCAAGAAAAATTACTAAAAGGGTATTTTGGTAATGTTCTCTCTATCCCATTTGGAAACAAGAAAATTGAGGAGCTAAAAGAGAAGCCGTTGAGTTGGGTAGCAAATGCGATTCATGAGTTTATAGAAAAAGCAGTAACACGCGAACATTTTCTTGGATTGATAGATTGGGTTGAGGCTCATCGTCCTGAACCGGCCGTGGCAAAAATATACGCCACGGACGACGATGGACCCGCCGTGGTAGTGTCATCAGGGCAACAATTTCCAGCCAGAGAGATAGATTTCGGATGGGGTGAGCCAGTCTTCTGGTCGTATCATTTTCCATGGGCGGGAAAATCAGGATATGTGATGCCAATGCCAAGTCCTAAAGGAAATGGAGATTGGATTGTTTATATGCATTTGATGAAATGGCAATTGGAACTAATTGAGACTTCTGCATCCAATGTGTTCAAGCCTGTGACTGCAAATTATCTCAGCTTAATGTGATTGTAGTATATTGTAATCAACTTTATATACGTGTGATGTGCTCTTTGGATGTTTTGTTCGTTATGTAAAAGTTGAATCTAATGTGAAACAAATAAAAAGAATATGAAAGAGCTCGGAAAATAAGCAAAATTATGAAATTCGCATATTCCGTGCGGGTTGATTAAAAATGTACTCATATTACATTTTCCCTTAGAGTTGAATAAAAGAAAATTCCGACAAGCTGCTAAAATATATAGTGATTGAGTATTTATAATAGGTTTCTAGTGCTATGCTGTGTTGGAAATAGTAACCTCTGTATTGTGTAATTTTGGTGATTAATGG